CTGTGGCTTACGTATGTATTTGCAAATGTGTGCTAACTAAACCCCTGTTTTTAACGCATATTGTTAGACAGGTTAATTTGGTTGCTGGCTAGCTGGCTGGCAAGTTGAACTGGGTACTTCCAAGGGCAGACTGACAACTCATGGGGCCCCTGGGCAATAGGGGATCATGGGGCCCCTGTGTCCTTGCCCAAACTAAAAAAAAAGCCAATGAAAAATGTACCAGGGGCATCTCATGGGGCCCCCTTCTGACCCCGGGCCATCTGGCAGTGCATGAGTTTCCAAATGGCCAGTCCGCCCCTGGGACTTTCTTTTCTTTTTTTAAAGATCTAGATACCCCTAAAAGTGTATATATAGCCAACCCCTTATTTTCTTTTTAATAGAGTAGCAAAGGGTTAACACTCCTGTCTGTTATTTTTTGCCATCTGTTTTCTGGGGGGGGGGGGGGGGGGAGATTTCCCTTCACATTCTGCCCCAGAGACACAACTGAAAGAGAGAAGAGTACGAGGAGAAATCTCCTTTAAGACAGTTGTCACCAGAACAGGTGGAAGAGTTCCCCTCTTAATTTGGTAACGACCATGACATACTGGGGTTGATTTGCTAAAATTAGAGAGTGCAGCTGTGTGTATAGTAACCAATCAGCTTCCAGGTTGTATTGTCAAAGCTTTATTGAACAAGCTGAAGTTAGAAGCTGATTGGCTACCATGCACAGCTGCACCAGATTTTGGACTCTCCAGTTTTAGTAAATCAACCCCTTTGTGTTTCTTGTCACTTTGGGGTCTGTTTACTAAAACTGGAGAATGCAAAAGCTGGTGCAGTTCTGCGTAGAAACCAATCAGTTTCCTGTTTTTTTTTTTTTTTCAAATCTCAACTGAATAAGCTGAAGTTATGAGCTGATTGGCTGCCATGCACAGCTGCACCAGATTTTGCACTCTCCAGATTTAGTAAATCAACCCCTGACCCCCGGTTCACATATATGCGGCCGTGCGGGCTGCATTTGCACGGGCACGAGAGCCCATTCATTTGAATGGACTCCCGTGCTCGTGACACGCATGAAAGAAGTCCCTGCACTTCTTTGGAAAATGCAGCCCGCACGGGAACCTCGGTTCCCAGTACGGTTGCGTTTTCCAGTGCGAGTGGCATGCCATTAGAGCTAATGTCACCCACCCACGGGTCCACATTTCTCTGTGCGGGTGGTGCGCATGGATTTTCATGCGGATCCACAGTGGCACCACCCGCACAGATGTGAACCTAGGGTAACTGTCTCTGCAATAATGATCACCAGCATAAAAGAGAGCATGCATCTTCCTGATAGGAGTTCTTATTCTTCCCCACTCTATCAAAAGTGAAAAGAAAAGGTTTTGGCTTTTAGGTACACTTTGAGCTAATCATTTCCTAACCCTTATCCAGCCATTGTGCTCCACATACATGAAAATGTGCAGAGGTTGGGTGAATTTGCCATGCATCGAGCAGAGACATCTCACACCATTGTTGGATACCTGATAAAAAGACACGATTCCCGTTTCATATTCCAAATACACCCCGAGCATTTTCACAGAGGCATCGGTCGCCACAATCATTTCTTGGCTGTTATGTACAGCTTTGTATTGCATGTCATTAGTCAGCTGCAAGCACCAGTAATCTGCAGCATATCCCATTTCTATGTAGTCATTATGATAAGACACTCCAACAGCCCAGCAAGGTTTGTCGCTTGTTTCCACCTCCCAGTAATGTTGGCCTGAGGATATGGTTGATGCACTGAATGCAAATCGAGGACTGTCAACATTCTGACCATCCAGAGTCAGTACTAAGAACGGAGGAACATTTTTGGTGATTTGACTTAATGGAAGCAGTCTGGAGGTGGCATCTTCAATATATATTCCATGACTCTTTAACAGGAATGGCAAGCTCCTTGTGAACCTGTGAAGGCTTGACTGTAACATAACCAGGAGAGTCCCACCATCCAGATTGTTGACATGAAAGTCGTCTTCTGCAGTTATTAAAGAATTTGCTTTTTTTGTGTTCAGAACTGCTCTTTCTAGCAGGATAAGAGGATCGGTGGTGTTGCACAGATTCTCCATTTCTTTTATCAGGTTGTTGATTTCTAATATTTGACCTTCCAGCGATTTCACAGCTTGAGATAGCTGGGAAAACACCTGGTCCTCTTGAGTTTTGATTTGGCCCAAGATTTGACGCTCCATAGATTCCAACACATTTTTCATCTCCCCAATCACCTCCGTTACTAAGCTTCTCATGCTTCCAGTGTTTGAAGCAATTTTTTCCTTGTGGCTCTTTACAAGGGCAACCTTTTTCTCTTTTTCAGCCTTCTTCGTTGTTAGAAGATCTGCTAGCACTTCAAAAGCAGTCTTTTCTTTATCGGAGAGGTCACTAAGCTTCTGAATGTTGTGATATTTATGGTCTCCAGTGATACCGCAGGATGCGCAGATGACGATGCCCTCCTCCATACAGTAATATTTAAGGAGTTCCTGGTGGACAAGACACTTTCTGCTCTGGAGTGTGACGCTGACATCAGTGAGAATATGCCCTACTTTGTGTTTCTTGAGGTGGTCACAACAAAGTGGTGTCTCGCAGTCTAGGCACAGCTTTTCGGGAGTCCCCTCACAGTAGGAGCACCCACCTTGGTACTTGGCCGACTTTGATTTTGTAGAGGTCAGGTGTTCTATGATACTGCACATCTTAGTGTTTCTGTTGAGCTCCATTCCTAAAGGCAACAATTTTCTGCATTCTGGACAGGACCTTTGACCGCTTGCCTGAAAAGTCTCATGGATGCATTGCTTGCAGAAGGTATGTCCGCAGGGCAAAGTGGTGGGCTCAGTGTAGATGTTAAGGCATATACAGCATTTCAACTCCTGCTGGAGAGCTGCACCTGCCATTCTCAGTGTTGGAATATAAGAAACGAAACTAATCTGGATGTTGCTTTTCTTTTTTTTTTTCCTTTCAAAAGGGGCGGGGAGAAGCTAGTTTTTTTCCACATAATTGTGTTTCCTAATATATAAGGGAGGGCAGCCTCTTGAGCAAATAATACATTAAACTAGGCATTTCCCTATTTTGGACCTGATTTCTTTGAAATGAAACTATGATGATGTTTTTGGCCATTATTTCCATTTTCTGTGAAATTGCCATTAAAAAAACGTATTTTATATGAATTAATTCATGATTTGCAATAAATCTTTATTCTAAAAATAAATGTTTAAAGCATATTTCTAGGCAAAACTTTTTTAGTTGTGGATAGAACAGGATCACATAAGAACTTCTGTCAGGTTTTTATTGCTTCCTGTGTCACCGCTGGGGAGAATCGTTAGAAAGTGATGAAAATTCAATAATATATGGTTGTCACTGAAATAGAGGAGAAATCTTCTAATGGGGATACCTGTTCTGATGACAACTGTCTAAGGGGGATTCCCCTCAATTGGCAGAGATTTCCACTCATTTCCTGTTGTTTATCTGGGATAGGAAGTGAAATCCTCCCAATGGGACAGAGAAGTAAAAAGAAAAACGTGGCAGAGATTTTAAGGGCTCATGTACACTGCAGCTCCTAAATTGACGTTTAGGATCTGTTCAGCGTTTTTTTTTTCAGCAGCCCCTGAACTCTCCCTAATGTTTTCCTATGTGCCCATGTACACATCGTCGTTTACAGGCAGTTGAATTTAAAGTTGTTTTTTTGAATGCACCAAACTTGCGTTCAGGAGTAGATTTTACCGGCGTGTCAAACACCAAACGCTTGTAAACGAGGTTAACCGCGTTTAGAAGCGTTTTTTAAACTGTTCCATGTCCATATGCTCTCCAGAGCCTTTTTTCATCATCAGAAATGCATGCAAAGCGTTTTTCAGGTACTCAAATGGACCCGGTACACCAGCGCAGTCAGTTGCAGGTTTTGCGTGAAGGAAAAACTGGTAGAACGTGCCGCATTATGCTCATGATGGGATCCATAGTGAATACAACCAGAAAAGACAGGTCATCTCAACACATACTGCTCTCTCTGCTTCTGCTCTCTCTATTCCTCTCAAAATGTCTAAAATAGTTAATTTTTTACTATTTTTCAGTGCATTCTGGGCATTTTGGAAGGTCTCCTGAGGTTATCTTTTAAAAACGCTTCTAAACGCAAACGCGCATAAACGCAGTATGCAAACGTGGCTAAACTGCGTTTTTTAACCTACGTTTTCCAGCAGTCAGTTTCCATCGTTCAGAAGAGTTTTCCAAACGCCCCGTGTACATGAGTCCTAAATATTCCCTAATTAAAAAAAAATAGAGATGTACTGTAATACAAGAGTAGTCTGAAATTACTCTTTCCAGTGCTGGCTGGGCTTCCTGATAAGAATGCAAAGCATTAGCTCTGCACTCACTGACTGCTTCTGTATATAGAAAATAACACATCACTATTTTTCTAGGTAAATATATTTCTAAAGGTGCTATTGACATGAAATTTTCACCACACATCGGTAACAACACATTCAACCCATACATACAAAAAAAAAAGAAAGCAAATACATTCAGAAATTAAGTTATGTGTAATAAAATTGATGGACACAGGGAAAAAGTATTGAACACGCTAACTGAAATGTATTTAATACTTTGTACAAAGTCCTTTGTTGGTAATGACAGCTTCAAGAAGCCTCCTATATGGAGATACTAGTCGCATGCATTGTTCAGGTGTGATTTTGGCAAATTTTTCCACGCAAGCAGTCTTCAAATCTTGAAGGTTCCTTGGGGCCTCTTCTATAAACTCTGATCTTTGGTTCATTCCATAGATTTTCTGTTGGATGCAAGTCAGGTGATGGGCCGGTCCATTCTAGCAGCTTATTTTCTTTCTTTGAAACCAATTGTTTGGGATCATTGTCTTGCCGCAATGTCCACCCTCGTTTCATCTTCATCATCCTGGTAGATGGCAGCAGATTTTTGAACAAGAATGTTGGTACAGTTTTCCATTCATCCTTCCTTCAATGACGTGATGTTTGCCCGTATGCTGAAAAACAGCCCCACATCAGGGGCAGACTGACCATTTGGAAACTCGGGCACTGCCCGAGGGCCCGGGGTCAGTAAGGGGCCCCATGAGATGCCCCGGTACCTTTTTCATAGGCTTTTTTGAGTTTGGGCAAGGACACAGGGGCCCCATGATCCCCTATTGCCCGGGGGCCCCATGAGTTGTCAGTCCGCCACTGCCCCACACCATGATATTCCCACCTCCAAACTTCCCAGCTGGGATGGTGTTTTTGGGGTGATGTGCAGTGCCATTTGACCTCCAAACATGGTGTGTATTATGATGGTGTGTCTGATCTGACCAGATTATGTTCTCCCAGTATTTCACAGCAATTGTACATAAAAGCAAAAAATGTTTGTTTAATAAATGTAAGATGATTTCATATCAGCATGTAGAGCTGCATGCTGATGTGATTTTTAGTGAAAGAGGGGAAAGGTCCGCCTAAATATTACACAGAAGGAGAAAGCTAAATAGGATTTTTATGCAAGTAAAAAAGTTAAGCAGTAGTTTTTAAATACTTAAATATTTTTTTTAATTTATGTTTTGTGAATGGGATAAAATATTGGTTTTATCCCAATTTGGCTGTAAAAGTGGAAATACACATTAAGATCAGCTTAGTGATCAGCTGAGAATAGAACGCTTTAAAGAATCGATGCACTAAAATGATGCTGTGCCAAATGCCCCGCCCCTGCATTAAGCGACATTCCCCCCAGGAACTTTAGTGTTGATTATATTTATATTTAATGCTGGGCAGCCTATGCAAGGCCACTCTCTCTGTACTCCGTCCAAGCTAAATTCCACTGTAGAAGTTGTATGCATGCAGTGGGGTGTCTGCTTTAGAATTAGCTATACCGGAGTAGAATCTACAGTGGCTCTGGGCGGGTTGTACAGTCTATGCCTATGAGGTCCCGTGGGGGGTAGGGAGGGGGTCGTTACTGAAGACATCATTATTTCACTGTACTGTTTTGTGCAGACGATGATGTGATTATATATGGTATATCAGCTGATGCAGTTCAGTGAATGTTTTTAAAGTGTTCAGACATTACACTCTGAGTTTTATTTTCTACTATATAGACTCTTGTGTAATATAACATATGACTCAAAAAAGGGAAGCAGGATAAAGTCTGAGCTGTGGTAGGATTGCCATGCAATACTGTGTGGTTTTACAAGCAATCCAACATTTGGAAAACTACTATGTTGTATATAGTTACACATTTTAAGCTAGCTATACAGACAGGGGTGTATTTACCACATTGCAAACAAGACATTTGCCTAGGGTGGCATTTTTCAGGGGGGCAGCAGTGACCCCTGGAAGAAGGGGCGGAAGAAGGGACACATGCGGCATTGGAACCAGGTGGGATCCTAGAGAGGCTGCAGGCTGCTTGATGGTGTATGTAGAGCCCGACTCCCGTTCCTGGGGATGTCTGGAGCTGTGAAGGTCTCTCTCTCGCTGATGGGGGGGGGATGATATTGGAAGGCTCTCTTGGGTGGGGGGTGTTGTTGGTCAATGTTAGGCTCTCTATCTGTGGGGGGGTGTTATTGGCTAGTGTCAGGCTCTCTCCAGGGGGGCGTCCATTTTTTGTGTTGCCTAGGGCAGCACAAAACCTAAATACACCACTGTATACAGATGTAGATATTCCTCATTTAGTGTGCGTGAAGGAATCCCCCTTACAGCTATTGTATTTTGACAGCTGGCACTCATGGCTGTCAGTATACCCAAACGGTGACTGCATCTGATTGGATGCAGTCATTGTTCAGCTGACAATTTTCCACCTGGCTCCTTCAACTTTCGTATTGCCAGAAATTCAAGCTAAATATAACATTTGCTTTGGAACCAATTCTGGCTTTGACCTTTCCAGTCTTCCCCACCTAGAAAACTAAGATGCCCTTATAGTTATCAGAGTTTCTCCCAACTGGTCTGTGACATTTCACAGACCAATAACCAATAGAAGCAGTTTCTGTTTGTTTTGCTCTTTTCTCTGCTACCTGGTGTTAGGTCCCTGAAGGTTTGCTATTTTTGTAAAGTCAGAATGCAAGAAATATGCCCACCGGAAGCAACATAAAAAAAGGAAAGAATTTGTTTCTTAATTAAATATTGCATAATTCAAATCCCACAGTAATCAGCTACTTTATTTTTTATCTGTGGAGTAGTTCAGGAAATGAATAAACCTATGAGTAATGCACAAGGCCCCCGTTAATGAAGTCCAATTACCTTTTCACTTCCATAGTAGTTTACAAGATCTAGTGTTCTGTCTCATTTGGCAAGTCAAAGATATTTTCTAAGTGCTCCTTATCCCAAGAGAAGGATTTAAAATATTTGTGTGCACCATATGGTATCTAAATGCTGAAGCTAGTTGCACAAGTTATAAAGAACTTTAAAGCCAGAAAAAATCATCCTCTTGTACAGTTCTAATATTTACATTGGAGTTGTTTTACTTGCCAAAGAATTTTTATTTCTGTCCATCCAGTCCTGAGATTTACATGGCCCTGAAAAACAGCACAGTCAGCCTGGAGACCTGACTTTTCTCTGCACCACTTAGAGCAACCTCCTTGTCCTTAGCCTGTGATTAGAAAGTGAAGAAGCAGCAGAGTGATAAGTTCACCCTTCTGTCTACTTTGCTCTCTACATCTGTCAATGTACTCAGTTTCAGTGTACTTACATGCCATGGAGTTGGATTGGTTTCTAGTGTTGGCCCTCTCTTTCCTAGTTGGACTCATGCCCATGAACGCAATTGGGCGCACACTGCAAGATTTCATCGTATTTCTTCTCCTGAGAGTCACTGATGTTGGCTTACAGGTATGGCCAGCATGCTGTACAAATTAATGACAGGCTTTTAAATAATGTGAATGAGATATGTAAAAGACAAGTGCTGCAACCCTCATAACATATTCCAGGAGGAGTATAAATCTGGCCGTGTGATTCCTGTGGTCTCCGTCCACTCACATCAATAAGTCAATCACGTAGGGTCGGCAACAAGGTGGGAGTAAACTGTAGAAACTTTATTTGAATGCGGAGTATAAAATGTTCCAGCAGACAAGCAACACTAACATGTTTCAGTCAAACAAGACCTTACTCATGGTTGATGTACTATGAGTAAGGTCTTCTTTTACTGAAACAACACTGAGCAACACTAACGCATTTTTCAATCAAACAAGACCTTTCTCATGGTTGATGTACTATGAGTAAGGTCTTCTTTTACTGAAACAAGAAGACAAGCAACACTAACGCGTTTCAGTCAAAGAAGACCTTACTCATAGTACATCAACCATGAGTAAGGTCTTGTTTGACTGAAACGCGTTAGTGTTGCTTGTCTGCTGGAACGTTTTATACTCTGCATTCTAGTAAAGTTTCTACAGTGTACTCCCACCTTGTTGCTGACTCTACATAATTGACCTTCAAATACTGTGGTTTTATGCCTATAACTACACATCTGAGCAGTTTCAGTGTACAGGTACAGATCAGTGACCCTAGACTGTCTAATTCAGGATGGCTTATTTGTTCATATATGCTTGTAACCACTCATATACATGGTTATAGGTGTAAAGCTGTGGCGTCTGGCAGCCTGTCATTGATTTGTATAGGGTGCTGGCCTCAGCTGTAAGAATCACTGGGACAAGGGGTGGGCAGGAGGGACAGCTGCCCTTGGTGCAATGGTGTGTTGCAGGAATAGGGGCACCCAGTGCTGAGTTCCTTCTGTTACATGGCTGACAGGAGTAGTGACAGCAGCATCACTACTCCTGTCAGCCCAGCACTGGGAGCAGCAAGGAGAAAGCCAGGAGGAGGTGTGGGTTGCACACCCTCTAAACCATGGGCCTCCAAACTATGGCACATGGGCCAGATCGGGGCCACTAAAAGATTTTATCTGGCCCCTGGTTAGAGTTAGTGGTATATACTCAATTTGAACAGATTGAGGGCTCAGGTCAGTAGAGGCTGCCTCTGCTTCAACCTGATGTAAGAGGGACTCTGATGAAGACCCTGATTTAAGGGAGACTCTCATGAAAATCCTGATATAAGGAAGAATCTGATCAAGATCCTGATATAAGGAAGACTCTGATTGAGACCCTGATGTAAAGGGTGGAAACGAACAGGGAATCCTCATGTAGAATGGGAATCTCATGGGGACCCTAAAAATAATGGGGAACTCTGATGGGGATCCTAATGTAAGGGCGAATCTGATGAGGACCCTGATGTAAGGAACACTCTGATGTGAGGGGGACTCATATCGTGACATTAATGTAAGACAGTGGTCTATGAACTGCGACCCGTGGGCCGAATAAGGCTCTCTACTTGCCAGTGTGTGGCCCTTGGGGCAATATTCTTCCCATCGACACCAACAATAAGTTGCCATTCCTCCCACAGACACCAGCTGTGGGTAACTAATCCTTCCACTGACACCAATGATGGGGCACTATTTATTCTGCTGACAGTAATGATGGGGCTGTATTCCTTCAACTGACACCAATGATGAGGCACTATTCCTCCCACTGATACCAATGATGGGGCACTATTCCTCCCACTGATACCAATGATCTCACTGACCACCAAGCCTGATACATTGTCTATTCCCACTAGCACCACAGAATTTCCTACTCCCACTGGCCACAGTCCGGCCCCCCTGAAGTCTGTGGGACAGTAAACTGACCCTTTGAGTAGAAATTTTGAAGACTCCTGCTCTAAACGGATGCTCTAAGCTTACCTATCATGAATGGGGGGGGGGGGGGGGCACAGTTTGGCATCTTTGCCCTGGGCACTGGGTGACCTTGTCCCGGCACTGGCTGTAAGCCAACACTTGAGACTCACAGGAGAGGAAATACGTTGAATTTTTACAGTGCATGCACAAATTCGTCTGTACAGGAGCCCATACTGTATAGAAGAATACAAGAGGGCGACACATATAAACACATAACTGCATCTATTGTTCTATTATGGTTGCCTTTGACTTTTAAGTTTGTGTGGTTCCCCTGACTACCTATTAGGCGGGTAACGATGAGAATGCTGCTTTATTGTCAGGAACATGGTACCACCCATCGGGTTAGAATTTGCTGTGTGGCTAATGCGTGTGTGCATGGGCATAAGCATAGAAGATAGATTGCTCATTTGCCCGCTATAACTATATTCCCTTCGCACACATTCCTGGAAGAATAGCTCATCAATGGAGGGTGCTGTAGCGACTACCAGCTGGGACTGGAAACATCATAGGCAAATGTACATGTTCGCCAGCACACCACGGATCTCA